AGTACTCACAAGGTTCACAGACAGAATGGTTGCCTCCTTCCAATCGTGAAGGCGAAACCCTCCAGTGATACCAGACAGAGCTTTGGCAGACAGCTTCCCTCAATCAGCTTACTGTAGAACCAGGGTGACTCCAACTTCGGGCCCTCAGGTCGATCCACCTGAGGCCACATGGCAGCAGTTGCCAGGCGAGGCAGCCTGCCTCCAGCCTGTCTGCTGCAATCCACTCCTGGGAAAGACCCTGAACCCATGTGCTCCTAGAACATAAATACCACTCAGTATGTAATGGGACTGCCTTCCCTTGCAATTGACCAGGGCTGTATCCATATTCATGCTGTTCATTTGCGTAGCCCCTTCTCATGTTCTGGAAGGCTCTCATAGCTCCTGAAGGTGGGCAGAACTAAGGTAAACTGCAACGGCACTAGAGCAGCATGAGCAGACCTGACTAATCAATCACAGCACTCTGTTAAGCATAATACCACACTGAATGTACCTGACAGCCTCTCTAGTAAACAGAGAAACACAGCTTAATCTAACTATACCCACCCCAGCACCTAACTAGGAGGGTGCTACACATCATATGTTTATGTGCAATTAAGTGTTGTTACACTTTGCTAGAACTGTAGATTGGGTGCATTGCAAACAGTATGTGAGCTTGTGATATGGCAGGGTGCTGTAGAGGCAAGCAATGGCTGCCCTCTTTGTGTTGAAACAGCAACATTTTGGGACCACAAACAGTTCCCTTCATTACTGGTGGCTGATGAAGGAGACTGTTTGTGGCTTTGATAAAAACAATGTTGTTTCAATGTAACTAATAAAAAGCCAAACAGGCGCAGTTCAGTGTGCTGGTGACACCTCTGCACTTAAATTAATATTGTGGCTCCCTCCTACCCTTCTTACCAGTCTAAAAGCCAGTTCACACCACATGCCACTGTGAGTGTATTTTCTTCTGCATCAAAATTGCATGGATAGTAAATTATACAGTTTCCATTGGTATAGTTCACACCAGTGCAGTCAGTTGCAGTGCGTTCTAGTTCCAGAAAAAAATTAACATGCTGCATTGAACTGTACGCAACAACAGTGCACCGGAATGCACCTAAATGCATCAAAAATGCAACGGAACACACATGTCCTTATCAAGGGCGGACTGACAACTCATGGGGCCCCCGGGCAATAGGGGATCATGGGGCCCCTGTGTCCTTGCCCAAAATCAAAAAAACCTATGAAAAAGTTACCAGGGGCATCTCATGGGGCCCTCTACTGACCCCGGGCCCTCGGGCAGTGCCCGAGTTTCCAAATTGTCAGTCCGCCCCTGGTCCTTAATTATGGTGAAGGAAAAAAAGAGGGGAAAAAATGCATCAGATCACATCAAGAATACATCAAAAATGCACATGCAGAAACCTTATATGTACCTGTTCCCAATTCAGCAAAATACTGCTGACTACATCATTGGTGCTTGTCAGCATTTTTCTAGTTAGGCCTATGCATGATCTCTGCACTTTTGATTAATTCTTATGGATGATGAGCTTGGACTATGAGCTTGTACTTGGAGGTTTCATAGGAAGCCCAGCCAAGAAAATTTTGACAAGTGGCTCTACAAACTAGTCAGGGGTGGAAAATACTTCCTCTTTATGAACTTCTGCAGGTACCCTACAAACACTAGAATTCCTTTGATCTCACTAAAAAAAATAAACAGAACTGGAGACTTCAATTGTCTATGGGCATCTGCAGAATAACAGGCTGGTTGAAATAACAGGCTTTTATCACAGAAAAATACAAGCACATACTGTATATCTACACTTTGTATATATGATATATATATTACACAACACTGTGCAAAAGTGTTAATAGTTTCTTTTTATCATTTTACAAAATGGACTGTAAATGAACAGAAGAAAAATCCAGATCAAATCAATATTTGGTGTGATCACCTTTTGCCTTCAAAACAGCAACAATTCTTGATGAATAAGTACCTGCTTATTTCTCTCAGCATTGAGGACACCGTTGATCCTGACCAAATCTCCAACTCCATTTGCAGAAATACATCCCCAAACTTGCAAGGAATCTCCGCTATGCTTTGCTGTTGCCTGTGGACACTCATTATTTCACTGGAAATTATGTTTTGGCCCCCACAGAGCCCTGATCTCATCAAGTCTGTCTGGGATTATATGACAAGACAGTAAGATTTGAGGCAGCTACATACATTCACAGAAGATCAGTGGTTAGTTCGCAAAGATGTTTGCCACAATCTACCTGCCAACTTCCTTCAAAAACTGTGTGCACAATCACTGTGTGTACCAAGAAGAATTGATGCTGTTTTGAAGGCAAAATGGTCATTGATTTGACTTGGATTCCTCTTCTGTTCATTTACTTTACATTGTGTTAATTGATAACAATAAACTATTAACACCTGTATTCCTGAAAGCATCCTTCACTCACAGCATTTTTTAGACACCCATCTAAAAAACATTTGCACAGTACTGTGTGTGTGTGTATATATATATATATATATATATATATATATATATATATATAGTCAGGTCCATAAATATTGGGACATCGACACAATTCTAACATTTTTGGCTCTATACACCACCACAATGGATTTGAAATTAAACAAACAAGATGTGTTTTAACTGCAGACAGTTAAAGCACATCTTGTTCATTTCATTTCAAATCCATTGTGGTGGTGTATAGAGCCAAAAATGTTAGAATTGTGTCGATGTCCCAATATTTATGGACCTGACTGTGTATATATATATATATATATATATATATATATATGTACATACACACACACATATATACATATATATACATACATACATATTAAAGATATGAGAGAAAAAGTGCACTGCTAAAAATAATAAACAATAAAAAATACAAATGTAAATATTTAAACTAATATATAGTAAAGTGTCCATATATGAACAGTATACTCATAAGCACTAAATATAAAGTGCAATTAAAAAAAGAACAATCAAAAAGAAAAGTCCATATTCTCAAGTGTGAATGCAACAGGAATTAATAAATCCAAAAATTAATGACTTGTCCTCCTGAGGATTTACCACCCTTCCTGACCAGGCCATTTTTTTGCATTACGGCGCAGTGTTATTTTAACTGAACATTGCGTGGTCATGCAACACTGCACCCAAATGAAAATGATGTCCTTTTTTTCCCACAAATTGAGCTTTCTTTCAGTGATATTTTATCGCCTGCGTGTTTTTTATTTTTTGAGCTATAAAAAAAAAGAAAAAAAAGACCAACAATTTTGAGAAAATAATTATATTTTTGACATTTTGCTATTAAACATGTCCAGTAAAAAAAATGAAAAAATCAAATGTCGTTATAAATTTAGGCCAAAATGTATTCTGCTACAAGTATTTGCTAAAGAAAAAACCCATTACATGTAAATTAATTGGTTTACGTGAAAGTTATAGTGTTTACAAATGGCGGTATATTTTTTTTTTTACTAGCAATGGCGGCAATCAGCGACTTATAGTGGGACTGCAGCAGGCATTATGACACTGGGGGGAACTGACTTGGTGTCACTGACATCCCCAGTGACACAAATACAGTGATCAGTGCAAAAAAAAGCAATGCCACTGTACTAATGGCATTGGGCAGGAGGGGGTTAACATGAGGGGCGATCAAAGGGTTAACTGTGTGCTGTTTTACTATGTGCTGTGTCGTGTGCTTCACTGTAAGCGCAGTCATCCAAAGCAGTGTGCACGAGCAGACAGGGAGGAGAACTGTTTTGTTTACAAACTGTTCTCCTCCCTGTCAGAGATGCTCGGCAATCACCAGGCGCCAGCAAGTAATCACCAGCCGGGACCAGGTAATTGACAGCCATGGGTGCGAATGACAGTGCCGGTAGGGCGCGTGCGTACGCCCCCTACTCGGAAATGTAAAATCACGTATAAAACAAATCATGTATATATACATGAATTTGCGCACTCGTGCCGCCCTGTAGCAGTATTTTCTGCTATAGGGTGGTCAGGAAGCGGTTAAATAAAGTACATCAACATTGGTCTTCAACATTGGTCTTCCACCATATGAATACAAGAAAAGCCTTCATATACCACGTGTTCACAGTATGTATAGTTAAAGTACCTTATAAAAAGGCATGTGAACATGTATGAGGATATGGTCATACTATGCTCAAAATACACAATATACTGGATGTAGGTGCTGCTACCTCCCAGCGTTCTAATGTGGCTTTATTACCGATGCTCTGGCAGAGGTAGCTGACTCCTCCTCTACACAATCCATAGAAGCAAAGAAAATCCGGCACTCCGGTGTATAGTCTGCAAAACATCACTTACTGGCTGGATATCCAGATTAAAAAAAAAGGACTATGGCTTTGGTGCAAAAACTGACTACTAGCAAGCGCTTGCATGTGTCATCTACTTGAAGATCTTTGGAGGCCAGACGGCTATGTGTTTTGAGCATTGTTTGACCATATCCTCATACATGGTCACATGCCTTTTGGTAAGGTACTTTACCTGCACATTTAGGTGAACACGTGGTGTATGAAGGGTTTTCTTACATTCATATGGTGGAAGACCAATGTTGATGTACTTTTTTTAATTTTTGGATTTATTAATTTCTGTTGCATGGAAAATTGGTATTGTGGACTTTTCTTTTTGATTGTTCTTTCTTTTTTGTAGCACTTTTTATTTAGTGCTTTTGAGTATACGGTTTATGTATGGCCATTTCATACTGATATACAGTATTAGTTTAAATATTCACATTTGGGTTTTTTTTTATGTTTATTATTTTTAGTGCTGCACGTCTTCACACATTTTTTAGGATTTGGTATCACATATCTTAGTGCTGGCTGCTCCAAGCTGACACTTCTAAGTGCAGAGTTTTCCCCCTATATGTCATATTAATATATAATAATTTATATACAGTATAGGAGCCTTAAATGTCTGTCTATAAACACAATTCTTTGGCCAAATCAAAATGTCAAAAAATATCACAGCCTATTAAATACTAACCTTGAGGTTTTTCTAGATTTGACTTCCTGATTGGCAGTGCTTTTGCCCGCGGCTTCTTTCCAGCTTGCTGAATACATGGTATTGGGCTAGCGTGCTGAGTCTTAATGAATGGACTTGATTCAATGTGACACTTGACTTGAAAAGTTGTACAGCCACAACCTGCAAAGAAACACAAACAAATGTAACAATTTCATCAGCTGAGTAGTGGTGAGTCTATGGTCATCTGGATGATCACTGATGTGACCATACAGTATAAATGCTATCCCAATTATTTCAAGGAAACAAACATCATACATTTCCCCAATGTAAAACATAAGTATATTTTAAAACAAAGCAGCTCTTTGAATATATTTTGGAATACCATGCAAGTTTTCAAATATAAAGGTTATGTGTGTCTGATCTTTCCCTGCACTTTTGAGAGCTATCATCACAGGCTCAGGCCAGTGTAAACATTATACTGTTTGCAAAGTCTTTGACTGCTCTGCAAATGCAGACAAGGAATGAGAAGAAGCATAACATCTGCTCCGTATACCTGTTTGAATATACTTCTTTAACTCAAATCAATAAGTGATGATTTACAGTATAGGCTGCAGTGCATCCATGAAATCAGTGGCGATCACAAACAGCCAGAAACAGGCAGCTGATGCATAAGATTAGCTATAATGTTGAAAGCATGTCTCCGAACCAGGATATAGAACAGGAACAGCAATGGGGATCTTCTGGACAGGACTGCATTCACCATCAGGTAAACAGGGTTTGTGCCTATAGGCTGCAGAAGTAAAAAGGCAATTTGTTTGTATAGTGATGAGTCATGCATTTTTTACTTCTCTTTAGAACCATATGCTCACATTGACATGATATTTGGCTAGGCTAAGACACAGTTAATTAAAAAATGTTGTGTAGAAGATGTGATCTTAGCAGAGGGGGGTTTGCTTTGCATGCTCAATTTGTGTAATTACATGCTCCAGTGATGGATATCCAGTCTTGCCCCTGTTCTGCATTCTGCTTTCCGCAATGTGCAGAGTCACATGTAAGCTGGTAAAGGGCAGGGTCTAAGTAAACTAATGCAGGGGTTGCCCATTTCTAGTAAGGAATTACTCCTCCAACATTTTCATCTGTTGTATGCTCCTTTTACGTCCTCTACAAACTAAACTCAGTCCTATAAAGACCACTGTGACCCTGTTGATATTCTACTTCATAGTCAAAAAACTGGTTCACCTTACAGATATCCTGTCTCATCAAACTGTTTGACCAAAGCATATTTGTAAAGACTGAATACTTGCCTCTCTGTATGGCTGAGGCACTGAAACCTGAAATGGTTCCCTGAAGTCTGGTGGCACACTTTCAGTAGTGTCGATCTCTGGCATCCCCTGCAGGCCTCACTGGTTCCCCCTGCTGACCTTCACAAACATTAATGTGTACTGCAGTGACATGGAGGTCAGCAGGAAGAACCAGTGACAGCAGCGAAGAACCACAGAGACTCCCTGAAGAGCGAGTTTGCCAAGTGGACTTCAGGTGCCCATCATGTTCAGTGACAGAGCAATGTTCATTGGTGCATGTAGCAGGAAGGAAAGGTAAGAATTAAATTAAAAATTTTTCAGTGGTTTAATATGGCAAGGTTTCTTTAAACTCCTTTCACATGAGTGCCCTTCATTACATCGGACCAAACAGTTCAGAACAGAAACAGATGTCACATGTAACATCCATGACTGTTATGTTTTCTCCTTCATCTTGTGATGGAGGAAAAATGGACCCATGTAATCCCTATGGGAGGCTGGACGTAAAATGGCAAGGGTCTGCCTACATTTGCCCACATCATATCTAGTCCACAAAAGTGGACCCGGTTTCAAACTTATTGCGTTCAGTCGAACGATCCTAAACTGGCTTGGATGTAAACAGACACACATATGCTTACATCTGGCTTCGCATAGGGATTAATATTGGAGTCCATTTGCAATCTGTCTAATCCTGGGACAAAAATGGGCTGATGGAATGCTTGTTTGAAAGGGGCCTTAAGATAAACACTGTAATAACAACGATTCTTTGTTTATGAATACGGTCCCCTTAAAAATCAGAACTGGACTATGTTAGTGCAGTGCCAGAAAGTTATTACTTAGAGTAAACTATCCGCCACATGCCCCTTGTCCCTTCTCTCAGGGGGGGTTAAGTAAAATATGCAGTTTTTAACCAGAGATGTTATGACCTTAAACAAGCAGTTCGCTCAGTAGCTGGAAACGGATGAGACAATGGGAGAGGTATTTAGGTCAGAGGGAAATGAGCTGCCTTAAGGATAATACAATGAACTTTTCATATAGAGCCTTGTGGCTTGCTCTGGACACTGCTCTATATCAGGAGACAAGATTCTGAATCTTCGCTCTGCAAAATGACAAGAATGTGAGCCACAGCGGCAAAAATGCAAGTGTTTATCTTATAGCTTAGAAAGCCATTCTTCTCCAGCCAAAGAAGGTATGAAATATGCTATTTTTTTTACTTTCAAGGA